GGCACCGCCCGCCCGCCCGCGCCGCCGCCACCAGCAGCCCCAGGCCCAGCAGCGCCCGCGGGCCCGGCATGCGGCGGGCACGGCCCGGCACGGCCCCGGAGCGGGTACGGAGCTGCTACGGCCCGGTACGGCCCGGTACGGCCCCGGAGCTCCACGGAGCAGGCGTGGGGCCGCCCCGGGGCGGAGCGCCCTTCACGGCGCGGCCAGGCCGGGAGGAGCCGCGCGCAGGCCGCGGGCGGTGCAGGCCGCGCCGGGGCTGCGCCGCTCCCTCAGGCCCTGCTGTAATAAATATATTAAATTCGTGCTGATGTAAATATGATAAGTATGTTCGTAATTATAGAAATAGGTATCGGATGGTGCGTTTAGAATGTGTGTTACAGAAAGCAGCCAGGTTTTAGATGTCTTACACAGGGGTTGGGAAACCTCACTAGATTGTAACACGCAGCGGTGTTCACTGAACAGAAGTCCAAATTAGCAAGTGAAGGGATTGACTCCTGCAGAAACTCTGAGCGAGTTTCGGAACACCCAAGACACCCAAGCCATCAGGACAGCCCTGGACTAGCACGTCAATACCCAGTTCTGTAACTCTTTACATGCACTGGTTCCCGGACACAGTGTTGTTTTTCCCAAGGCAGCTTTGTCTGAGCAGGAGACAGAATTCCTCCAACACTGGACATTCAAATCTTCCCTGGACATGGTTCAGTCTACTCGAGGGTAAGATTCATCTAACACCGGACAAGGGATGAGGACTGCATGAATATTCAGGAAAAAAGAAAGAAAGGAAACGTTGCTCCAGGCAAGAAAAACAGTATATAACCATGGCTCACCACACAGACTTTGTGAGCTCCATAGATCTGATGCAAAAGGGGGTCAGATCTGTGTTCACCCAGTGTCAAGTCCTGGGCTCGGCGCTGTCCCTTTGATTGTGGCTGGCAAAGATTGTATTTCAATTCGCGAAATAAAATCTATCTTCTTTGAATTTTAATCTGGCTTTCTCAAATTATTCATTTGGCCTTATCTGGTTGTTGCCTATAACACTGCAGGTCCCTCCAGCCCCTTCATTCCTCCCCAGGACCCCGACATACAAAGGATGGTGGAAAAGGAGCGGGGTCAAAACCGTGTTGGCTCAAACCGTGTTGTCCCCTCCCCTTCCTCCCCCCAGAAGCGGTGTTTCCCTGGTGCCCTCCTGGTCACACGAGGCTGCAGACGAGGGACAGAGCCCTGGTGGCCGTGCGGGGTCCCCGGCGGGACCAGCAGCCCGCAGCAGTGGCAGTGGGGTCATCGTCAAGGCTGCAAGGTCGTGGAGGCATCATGGGGAGTGAGGGTGTCCGGCAGGATGCAAAATAATCAAATAATAATCAAATGATCAAATCACGGAGTCACAGGCTGGTTTGGGTCTTAAAGGCCATCTCATCCCACCCCCTGCCATGGGCAGGGACACCTTCCACTGTCCCAGGTTGCTCCAAGCCCTGTCCAAACTGACCTTGGACACTTCCAGGGATGGGGCAGCCACAGCTTCTCTGTGCCAGGGCCTCCCCACCCTCACAGGGAAGAATTCCTTCTCAATATCCCCTCTAACCCTGCCCTTTGGCAGTGGGAAGCCATTCCCCCTTGTCCTGTCCCTTCAGGCCCTCGTCCAAAGTCCCTGTCCAGCTCTGTTGGAGCCCCTCTAAGCACTGGAAGGCAGGAGTGGGCAGGAGGTTCATACCAGGGTCCTGGAAACCACCCTTAGATCTGCTGCCCCATCCACAGGGCACGGTTTTGGTGTTGGCTATGAGGCACCAAAATCCCCAGCCCCTGTGACTTTTGGCTTGGAGTCGTGTCCCTTCCAAGAAACAGCCCTGCTGGGGTCTCCACTTGTGCACCCTCCCCTCAGAGGACACTCCAGAGCCCAAACCTCCCTTGCCCACTCCCCCAAGCCATCACCTACCTCTCTGGAGGCCTCGGATGGAGGGTTTGGTGTTTTTGGTGCCCTGTGGGATGCAGTGTGAGACCCTCAGGCCTGGGCTCACTGGAGAAGTGATGTTCTGGTTGTCTGTGGTACTTACGGAGCTGGAGGCCGGCATGGGGCAGCTTGGCTGGGGGCAGGGGGCTGGTGGTCCTCATGCTGAGACACAAGTGAACCTTGTGTGGGGGTTCTGGACAGCTCCCCTGTCACATTGTGACTGAACCCTCCCTAGGATCCAGCTGGAATGACCCCAAACGCACTCCCAGAATTATGTATCTTTAAAAATCCCTGGATTTTCACTGTTAAACAGGAGAGGTCCCTTGTGCTGCAGAGGTGCCAGGGGCTGCACTGAGGTGTCTCTCCCTTTCCCACCCACCTGTTAGCCTGGGGCTCACTGTGGTACCCTGGAGCTGAGCTGGGACCATCATCATCCTCCCCCGAGGTGCCCAGGAGGCCACTTGGGTTGCAAGGCTCCCGCGTGAGACCACCAGTCAGGGCCACTCGTGTGCCTCCAGGACAAACAGGCAAGAACACAGCATCAGACTGTGCCAAAGACTCAGCTCCATCAGGAATTGCCTAAACCCCATGTTTAGTTTGCAGCCTCTCACCTGAATACCTGGGATGTGCTCCTGGTGTAGGCCAGTACAGCTCGTCCTCAGCCTGGGCTTTCCCCCTGAAGGACATGGGGTGAAGGAAGGCTTGTCTCCTGTTTTTCATCTGGAAGCTCATCCCAGAGGAAGGAGAGAGAGGATGGCAGCTTTCCTACTCACACCTCGCTCCCCCGGAGCCGTGTCCCACTGGCACGGGGCAGTGTGGAGCAAAACTGCAGCTGGCTGGGCTCCTGATGGGATTAACGTGTTAATCTGCCCAGCAAACTCAGGCACCTTTTGCCACAGCCCCTGCTGGGGTCCCCGTTCCCAGCCCTCCAGAGTGTGCCATGCCCTGGGTGATGCTCACCAGGGCTGGGTTGGGTGCCCAGCCCCCCTGGTAGGACGGGTGGCCGAGGTGGAGTCGGTGCTGGATGGCATCTGTGAGCTTGTGCACGACCCGTTTGTGGGCAGCTCTGGGGCTGTCCTGTGGTGGAGAGAACCCATACGTGTGATGGGCTGAGTGGGTGTGCCCCAGGGCTGAGGCCAGTGCCTCATGAGGCACGGGAGGCTCCAGCCCTGGGGATGCCCATCATGCCTTACCTGACAGCGGGAAAGCAAAATCAGGGCCTCCTGATAGTGCCCGATGGCTTTCTGGGGGTCTCCCAGGTGGAAGCACGCTGCACCCAGCCCCTCGCACGCTTGCCACTGCCCCTGCAAGTCCCCTGGGAGGCAAAGGGCTGCGTTGGCCGCTGCACTGCTCAGCTGAGCTCCCCGGCAGGCAGCATTACCCAGCCTGAATCCGCGGGATGCTGCAGGGGTGCCCGTGCCTCCCCTCACCCGAGTCCCGGAAGGCTTGCAGGGCGTGCAGGTAGCTCTCCGCGGCAGCCCCGTGCTTCCCCAGCTGGCTGCAGGCGTACGCCAGGTTCCCAAAGCTCTGCCCCTGAGCCCTGCGGTTCCCCAGAGCGCCTGGAATCGGGAACACAGGGCTGCATGCCGAGCTGGCGCGCCTGGCCCAGCCAAGAGGCAGAGACAGCGGTGTGAGTACCGTGCAGCGCGGCCGCGCGCCGGTGCCAGCCCAGCGCGGGGCCGAAGCTGCGCAGGGCGTTGAGGGCAGCGCCCAGGTTCTGCAGCAGCGCGGCCTCCTGCTGCCGGCCCAGCTCCCCGCCGCGCAGCCCCAGGGCCTGCTCGAAGCTCTCGGCAGCCAGGGAGAAGATGTGGAGCTGCGAGTAGCCGAGGCCGATGTCGTTGTAGAGTTTCCCTGCGGGCAGAGAGGAAAAGCAGTGGGAGCCGCTGCGCGGGGCCCTGAGAGCGGAGGGCACGGCGCAGCGTTACCTCGCAGGGCCAGGTCGGGGATGGCCTCGCAGAGCGAGCGGCACCGGGCGAGCACCCCGGCGATCTCTGCGGCCCGGAACCGCCGGCTCTGCAGCATGGAGCCGCTGGCCCTGCTCAGAGCCACGGCCGCGGCCCCGGGGCTCTCGGCCGCCGCGTAGGCCTGTGCCGCCTCCAGGAAACACCGCGCGGCCCGCGCCGGCTGCCGCATGCCCAGGTAGCAGCAGCCCATCTGCACGCAGGTCCCCGCTCGGCTGCCAGCCTCAGCAGCACTGCCGTGGCTGGAGGTTTTCTCAAAACACTCCAGAGCCTTTGGAAAATCCTGGAGCCCTTCGTGAGCCGCCCCGACGCTGAAATAAAGGCTCCCCGAGTGCTCCCCGCTCTCCGCCTCTGAGGGCTGGGACTGGAGGAGGAACTCAAAGGCCTTTTTGGGCTTCCCAGTCTCCACGTAGGCAGCCCCCAGGTTGAAGGCACAAGCCCTGTGGAGCTGGGGGCTCACTGTGTCCCTGGAGAGGAGCAGGGCCTTCCTGAAGCACCCCACTGCCTCCCGCCCGGCGCCCAGGGCCAGCGCCCGGCGTCCGGCTCGTGTGAGGCCCTCGATGGCACCCACCCGCCCTGCCGCCTCATCCCCTCCCTCCTGAGCAGCTGCCCTGGCCTCAGCCTTCTTCTTCTGCCGGCTCTTCTTGCAGCTGGTGGGGGCTGCAGGGGTGATGGTGGGGGCAGAGGGAGCACAGGGGTCTGTGGAGGCAGAGGGGGCAGTGGGGTGTGTGGGGGTGGTGGTAGGGGTAGTGGGGTGTGTGGGGAT